GGGGGGGGGCGGGGGGAATCCTCCTTTGAGAAGCAAAACCATTTTTAAACGATATTGATACTACATTCTCGTGGAAATGAGGAAAGTGGTGAGTCCGAATGTCGAAACCGCCAGGAACGGGGCTCCTGAAGCTGAAGCTTTTTAACAACCAACTCCTGTGCCACAAGAAATTGGGGGAGGGAGGGAGGGGAAGGGAGGAGTGGGGTGGGGGGACAGAAAACACAGTGACACTGCGTTACAGTAGATATTTGCGCCTGGTGTCCTCATCCAAAGTGAGGTCCACTACTTCTGGGGGCGAGGACCAGTTCTGCTGGGGGGTGACAGCTGTCCATGACGGCGGCGGCTGAGGGCTGACGTACTGCGAGCCCGCGCCGTGCTTCCAGGAGGACACGCTCTGAATCACACCTCCCCTGGGATGCACGCACCTGTGAGCGAGGCGAAAAGAAAAAAAAACAACAAAACCAACAATAAAAATCATTAAAAATACTCAAATTTGGGCGCGAGGCTCTCGGCTGCGGTGGGTTTATCACTTAGGCGCTGCCTTAGCACCTCCCTCTCCAGAACGTCCTCCTGGATTTTACATTTGTGGAGCCCAGGAGATCTTAAACACCCAGTGAACAAAGCGGAGACTAAAATTAAATTTAAGCTTTCAAGAACTGAATTCTGCCAGTGGGTGAAAGGTGAGGCTCCTTACAAAATAGGTGCGTGGATCCCAAAGATCCTGCAGGAGTCTGCCCCACCACGGGTGGTACCACGCGTGATTGTGGGAGCACAGCATCCTGCTACGTGGTTTTTACCCACTGGGCTTTCAAAAAGAGAAAGAAAATTAAGTGAGGCTTGATGAGACACTGAGAAAAGTTACCCTTCTATCTGAAATCAAAACCCCTTGTTTGCAGGGTTTTTTTAACCTGTTTTATTTGTAATAGATATATGACAATTGAAGTACAAGCTAATAATAATTAGAGAAAAAAACCCAAAACAACCACAAAATGAAAGACAGATTAATTCTCTATAAACGATGAAGCGAGGACAGGAACTTGCTGGAGTCTTTCAGGTGATGGCTCCATTCCCAGCTGTAAATCTTATAATAAGTGATGGTAAAACTTTACACCTCGTGCTGCAGAAGCTGTTTGGCTCTCAGAGGCAGGGGTGCTCCTGGCTGTGCACCTCAGCAGGAGACGTTTGGCTGCTGAAATAACCTTTTCCCGTTTCCTTGTGAAGCCACGTGCACCGTGCTTCAGGAACCAGTCAAATATCCCTGACATTTACTCTCTATCTGTTTTAATTTAAGGTAGTGCAATTTGTTTCCCCCAGAACTACCTCAGTTACTGCTCATCTCTCTTGGCTGTGGTTAGAGACAGGGTTTCATGAAACAGAATGAAAAATCTCACTCTCTGAGCGCTGCCTCCTCTGAATATAAACGTCCTGCTTCCCTCCCAGGCACCCTATTTGGTTTTGGATGTAATGTTCAGAATGACTTTTTTATTACTTCTTTGGTCTTAAAAATACATACTTAAAGTACCTATCTACAAATAATAAGAGACTGTAACTCTAACAAAAATAGAGGATGTTTTTTAAAGACACCTTTCTTTAAAGAAGAAATGCTTTTAAGCAGAGCTGACAAGAACAGAACAAGAACAAGCCAAAGCAAACTTAAATAGGATGTTCTGTCTCAGGGACTACGCTCCTTCACTCTGATATGGAACAGTCCTCAATGCTCGGGCAAAGCTGATACTAACCCTTCCCCCTAAGGATGACAAAAAGCTGCAAATTACCTTCATAGAAATGATACCTTGCAAAAATATAAGTGTTTATCCTCAAACAAGTCACACAAGCAGCCAATGGCAAAACATTCGATCCAACGTTAACTTGGGGAACACACTTTCCAATCTGCAGCTAAGGGAAGATACCAAGTAAAAGCAACCAAAAAAAGGAAAGAGAAAAAAAAAGAAGAGACTATAGAAAAAAACAGAGGAAGACTGTTTTATGCACATGCATAATAAAAAAAATAATAAAGTCTGTTGGACAAAAATTAAACAAACTGGAAAAAGTGACTTGGCATCCTAAGTAGATGCCAAGTAATATTCCATTGAGGAGCAGCACCAGGAATTCACCAGCCACCTGGAAAACTCCAGACAATGGACAAACCCCAGGGTTTCACGACTCACACCAGTCAGACAACGACACGGGATACACAGCACGTTCACGACTCACACCAGTCAGACAACGACACAGCACAATAAAAAACAGAGGGAGCAAAAGAACTGGATCCAACCACCACGCTAACTGAGCATGCAAAAAAATATCCATCAAAAACCTCAGCCTTTTCCAAACCCTGCCAGAAGGCCACCAATTCTTTGTAACTGCAAGCCCAGACCTGCAGGAGAAATAGAATTCTCCGTAGGATTCAAACAATTGCAACGTGTGAGTGTTCAAGGGAGCCAAAAGGAGCCAGGAAAGCGTAAAAATGTGCTTTGTGCCTTGTCTTGGCTGAAACTATTTTGGTCCTTGTCTACTAAAACTGGTATTAGACAGCAACTCTGCCTTTGCTGAGCATTTCCACGGAGTCAAGCAGCACCGAAAGCCCGTGAAGAGGTGACCTCGATCAGCAGGGCTGTGTGTGGGTAGCCATGGGCAGACTTACACCAACAAGTACTGGAGGACGACTCCAGGCTGCTTATCACTGGGACAAAGATCCTCCAAGGCCTGGCTGTGCTGGGTGAACAGCCAGGGGAGATACTGCCTCAGGAATTAGCCACGCAAGGACTTTCACTCTTCTAAAAGTGAAGGTCAAATCTCTCTTCCAAAAAAGTTCCTTCTTTCTGAAAAAAAAGTTCTTTCTTTCCTGAGTGACATGCTCTGACAAGCTCTGGGTGGTCCTGCTGTAGCCGGGGAGTTGGACTAGATGATCTCTATGGCCCCTTCCAACTCTAAAAATTCAGTGAAATTCAGTGAAATTCCCATCCAACCGCCCCTGACTGTGCCCACGCTATCTACACAGGTTCCTTTCATGGGAAATCGGGCCCCACAAAGCCTTCCTCTTCCTCAAGGAAGATGAAGAGCTTTAAGAATGTAGGGTAGTACTTTTAAAAGGGTAAAATATGCTTTAGAAGGTAGAATCTCGCACCAGTTAAGATTAAAGAGCTGTAAAAAGGTCACAAAGCCCTGTGAAACCAGACACTTGGAATAAACAATAGCTGCCTCCCTGAGGAATGTATCCTTGGATAAGAGCAGGAGGCTGATAACAAGGGACACCCCACCACAGGAGGTGCCAAAACTGGCTGAAAACCAGGCAGCTGCTGGATAAGGCGTGAAATCAACAAAAACTTGCAGTAGCTGGGGGAAAGGTAAAGGTTGCACTGGGAGATGGTGACCACCAACTCAACTGGAGATCGAACTGGACTGACACCCCCCTCCCCTCTACTGGAGCATGTGCACATCAATTTAAGGACCTCCTAACTTTAAATGAAAGCAGGAGACTGTACTAACCAAAAGAAATTGTTAGGATAAGGTACTAACCAATAATTGTAATTAAGGGTGCGTATTTCTGTACTTTGAACTGTACAAATATTCCTAAGAGTTTTTAGGCTGAGGGGCTGGCTCTGTGGAACAAAAGAAATTGTTAGGATAAGGTACTAACCGATAATTATAATTAAGGGTGCGTATTTCTGTGCTTTGAACTGTACAAATATTTCTAAGAATTTTTAGGCTGAGGGGCTGGCTCTGTGAATGGTAAAGGTTGCACTGGGAGATGGTGACCACCAACTCAACTGGAGATCGAACTGGACTGACACCCCCCTCCCCTCTACTGGAGCATGTGCACATCAATTTAAGGACCTCCTAACTTTAAATGAAAGCAGGAGACTGTACTAACCAAAAGAAATTGTTAGGATAAGGTACTAACCAATAATTGTAATTAAGGGTGCGTATTTCTGTACTTTGAACTGTACAAATATTCCTAAGAGTTTTTAGGCTGAGGGGCTGGCTCTGTGGAACACCACCCAGCACTCATCCCTGCAGAAATTAAATAAATAGGTAATTCCTCTGCTCTGTGTGTATATGGGCATCTGCAAGGTGGGGAAACAACCCTGCTTTGGGAAAACAAGCATGCAGTGAAGGGACACCAAGGAACAGCTCTTGTTCCTTGTCCCTCACACTCTTTTTCTGCCTGCAAGCATCCTCCAGGCTGCAGACAAGTTTTTTAAAAAAGAGCTTGTCTGTGCACTTGTTTTAACTTGGTTTTATCCCAACAAATTAGCCCTCCACACTAGATGAAAATGCCAGTCCTGTTCAACTGCTTCGTAGTACCTTAAGCCATGGAGAGACCATAGACTAAAGATGAAAAGTAACATCAAAAAATGCCTGTCAAGGATAACAGTGGAAGCACAAAAGCTTGCCCTCTGAGCTTGAGAGAAAACTCCGGCTTCTTCACCCTCACCCTCTCTGGGGGGCTGAACTCTCCTCTGTCTTGAAATAAATAAAGATTTGCAAGGATCTGATTTTTAATCTAAGGGGGGTATCTTATGACATCTGCCACTGAAAAACTGATAGTATTTTTACATCTGATTTTTAATCTAAGGGGGGTATCTTACAACATCAGCCACTCAAAAACTGATAGTATTTTTACAACTAGTGATTAATTAAATAAACTGGAAGCTGATTAAATGCTTAAAGTAAGTGAATATTTTGAAAGGAAACAGGAACGCACATAAGTATTTGTGTTTATGTATTTGCATATTCACACTATAACCTAGAATCTGAATTCCTAACAGTGGTTCCCGTCATATATAAATTTGGTATCTCAGTATTTGGTATTTTAATACTACATACATTTAGCCTGTTAACGTTTGATATGGAATCACAAGCTTAATCTGAGCAATTATCAAGCTGATGATGTTCTAAAGAAAAACACATTCTGGCATCACTGTGAGCAGCAGACTAGAAAAAACAAGTGTGACGTTTGCTGCCAGCCGTGGATGAGTAACTACAGAAGTGGAAGTCAGCAGTTTTTTTTTCTCTGTTAATTTTGGCAATACAGACATTCTGATAAGGTGAAAGAAATATTACAGCAAGAAAAAGGCATTCCTACCTGGCATGTTCCTGAACTCCAACAATCTCTACTTCACTATCGGAAGAGGCGATATTGATTTCTTCATTGATCTGCGCGTGGCCAGGAGAGGTTTTGCCGCTTGCAAGGAAACCCGGATCCAAATGACCTACAGGTGGAGAAAATGCAGACACAGGCAATGATTAACAGCTTACACAACTCGGAAATCAGCTGGAAAAGGCGCTTCCCGAGCTAGCACAGGAGGACTGAAACACTGAGATTGGAAAATCTTATTCGATCAAGTTATCGGACTTTCAGTTCATCACCCAATAAGGGATGGAATCACTGGACTGATCCAGTGATGGTGCTATCACACTAATGTGAACAAAGCCCCACTATTGCACGGTGAACACTTGATCTAATTAGGCTTTCCAGCTGTTATTTTATGACAATGCTAAGAGCTAGACTGTGCCTAAACCTCTCTGAAAAAAAATAAACAAGACAAGCTATTGTCAGTAAATCAAGCTCAATGATACTGTGGCAAACAAAGCCTCTGGGCTGGACAGAAATATTACACACACCCCAAAGAAAATTAATTAATTAATTATTTATTTATTTTAAATAGCAGAAGCCGGTCAATAAAAAAACCCCAACACACTCATCTGTTTCTGGTCACACTGCTTCACACATCTGTTCTAACATTACTACAAACACTTGAAAAAAAAAGTATCTGTTTTTCATAAGTTCCGTGTACAGCAGTGTTGTTTTTTCATTACAGCTCATCGGTCTGTCAAACAAGTCCCCTCTAAATAGTCACCCCAAGGGTGGCAGGTTTTGCCAAGACGGTCCTTCACCACAATTAATGAAGCTGTGCTGCGACGTATTAAATAATGTTTGCACAGAAAATACCAACCAGTCAAGATTATGACTTGTTTCACAGAAAAAAAAATATTAAAAATTCAATTGAAAAAAGAAATCGCTGGACAGAAATATTACACACACCCCAAAGAAAATTAATTAATTAATTATTTATTTATTTTAAATAGCAGAAGCCGGTCAATAAAAAAACCCCAACACACTCATCTGTTTCTGGTCACACTGCTTCACACATCTGTTCTAACATTACTACAAACACTTGAAAAAAAAAGTATCTGTTTTTCATAAGTTCCGTGTACAGCAGTGTTGTTTTTTCATTACAGCTCATCGGTCTGTCAAACAAGTCCCCTCTAAATAGTCACCCCAAGGGTGGCAGGTTTTGCCAAGACGGTCCTTCACCACAATTAATGAAGCTGTGCTGCGACGTATTAAATAATGTTTGCACAGAAAATACCAACCAGCCAAGATTATAATTTGTTTCACAGAAAAAAAAAATTAAAAATTCAATTGAAAAAAGAAATGAGTAAGAAAGGGTAACTTCTACTTTTTTTTTTTCCCCACCAAAAAAAAAAAAGATTACTTTTACTGTCTCTAGCAGTAACCTGGTGGATGATGGGCAGCCCTGAAGCAGGTGAGACTACCTGCTTCTCAGAAACCACTCAGTCAGCTGTATCACAGAGGGGAAGAATCACTTGTCGAGCTGGGAATATGAGATGAGATGAATATATTATGTATACATCTAGTTTGACTGGACACCTCTTCAAAGACCAGAGGAGTCTCTGCAGTAACAATCCAACCCATTTCAAAGGCGTGCGAACATGCAGAACTGATTATACCCCCGGGTAGATCAGGAGGACAGAGAGAGAAGAAATTAAAACAAGTGCCAGGGAAACCTTCTAAAGGCTAATAAAGTACTCAGAAAAGGTGCAAGCAAATAGAGGGGCAGAGACTATACTGGATGTTCACATTTTGGAAAGCGAAGACCCTTGGTGCAACATCTGGGGAGGGTTATCATGGGAAGGAAACCTGTGCGCTGCTACGTACCCGAAGGAGGAGTTTCCACCTCAAAAGGCAAAGAAGATTTCTCAGCTGAACTTAAAACAAATCAATAGCCCAGGCAGACTTTTCCTGACCCTATGGTTCAAGCAAACGTTCCTTGGCAGATATCACTGACTGCCAGGAAGTCCCTGAATAGGTCATGGACATTTCTTTAATAGAAGCAGCTGGGCACGCTGTGAAACATGAAATGGAAGATCTCCGAGGCTTTGGTTCATGTGCTGGCCATGCCAAAAGGGAGCTTTAGGTGACCACCATCCTGGTGACTGGCATCGCCCCACTCCTGAACCTCACCGCTGCAACAGCACATGCTTGGTCACTGATTGACACGAACTGGTATGGATATCAACCTGCCTTAATATGTTGTATGAATTACGTAGTTTACAAATATATATATTTGTACGTATATAGGTATTTTTACTGGTACTCTACCTTGTAATTCTCAGCATTAGTCTTCCCCCTTGGTTCATAGAACTCTTTTAATCGGAAGGGACCTTTCAGATCATCGAGTCCAACCATCAACCCAACACTGACAAAACCACCACTAACCCATGTCCCTCAGCACCATGTCTGCCTGGGTTTTAAATACCTCCAGGGATGGTGCCTCCACCACTGCCCTGGGCAGCCTCTTCCAAGGCTTCATAACCCTTTCCATGAAAGAATTTTTCCCAATATCCATCCTAAACCTCCCCTGGCACAGCTTGAAGATGTTTCCTCTTGTCCCATCACCTGTTCCTTGGGAGAAGAGACCGACCCCCCCTGGCTACACCCTCCTTTCAGGGAGTTGGAGAGAGCGAGAAGGTCTCCCCTCAGCCCCAAAATGAACGCCAAGACGCCTAAGTGAGAGCCCCAAAAGCTACATTACCATAGCTTTAAGTTCAGACAACACAAAGGCAATTAGCAGCAGAGAAACCATGATTAGCAGAGTATATATTGCAAGAGTAGCTGAGTGTAAATCAGGATCATAGCAGACAGAGAGATTTACAGCCTCTGGCCATACAAATTTCATGCCTAATCACATGCTCACGCTGGTAATTTCTTTGCACGAACATCAGGATGACGCCCAAAGGAGATGTTTGTTTGCCCTACAACATCAGGGCTTGCAAAACAGCCCCAAATATTTGCCCAGGCACAAAGATGTGATAGGGTTATAAGTGTCCTTATAAGATTTTTCTCCCAGATAAAAGCTGACGGTGTTATTTTCCCATGGGAACGCATCATTTTAACGGCCTGTTAGAACTAGATGCTGGCCGAAGATTAAATTTGGGAACAAGATGTAGAGATTTGAAAGCTATGCTCTTCCAGAGGCGTGATCCCAGGCACGGTTAGAAAAGGCCAGTAGCCACAAACGTGCAGTTAGAGGCGCGGGGAGGCTGCAGGGCTGTGGGGCAAGGCGTGGGCAGGGAGAGAAGGAAGGCTCAGCCCTTCGGACGCTGAAACGGCCGAAGCACCAGGAGCAAATTTGCCTGGACACGCTCCCACAGGGTGAGGGAGGAAGTTTCTTGAAGTTTTCTAGTTTTCTTTTATCCAGTAACCTCTTTCTTCCAAGCCCCCTTGGATAGAAGGAAGACGGATTTCTACCCGCACCACAGCTCTGTCCTCCTCAGCGGAAAGCGGGAGAAAGCTTGGTAAGAAACACTACTTTTTATTTCCTTACTCTCCTTTGAAGTACCAACCCATTACTGCCATACAATGAGGTTAATTTCAGCTGTTCCAATCGTTTAATAAATGACTTTATAAAGGAGTGGGCTTGTCAGGGGTCAAATAGCTAATACCAGTCCGCCGCTATCCTGTGAGCTTGGAAAACACCTCCGAGCTTCACAGAGGCTGGAACAACATCCAGCCACAGACCACAGGGAAAATAATGCAACGGATAGATAGTCTCATATTCAACTTGTCCACTATACAATACATTCCACCGTTATAGTGGGACATTTCTTCCAAAATCTGCCACATCTTTGTATTTCTTTCAGCCTGCCAGACATTGAGAAGCAGCACGCTTACGTTTGGAAAAACACAGCACAAAACAAAAAACCTGCTGTGCTTTACCACTGCAGGCAAGATTCTGTGTCATATGCAGCTAAAAATTAAGATTTTTAGTACTGAGTATTAAGAAAAATGATGGAAAGGAAGGCAATAGGTTGGCATACAAGGCAGGATGAAGTTGGTAGGAAATATCTCTATACCCTGTTAATCTCTCTACATCCAAAACAGTTTAATTCTTTTGTTAGTGATGAGTTGCAAGTGTTTGGTGAAGCTGAGCTATTTTTTTATAAGCTGCACAAACTTCTCTGCACTCTTCCACAGTGTTCCTGCTCTTGCTTTCTTGAGGGAAATGTCTTTCCTGGTGCCAAGCCCACCCCCCAGCACCTTTTCGCCCTTCATCTCTATCTGTGGCTGCTCTGTCCAGTGTTACAAGGTATGTTAGAAATCCAAGTGGAACATGGGAATAATTAATGCTTGTATTTTAAAGAAATAGAGAGACAAACAAAAAAAGTCATACAGAGAAAATGACAATGCTTAAAATGAGATTGGGACCAGTTTACTAGCTGGTGGCATAGGTTGTCATAATCAACCATTCAGTAACAGGCTTAGCTCACTCTCACTTTAAAAAACAAGCAAAACCAACAAAAAGACCCCACACCCAAGTTCCAAGAAGTAATTAGAGGGAAAAGAAGGAGAAAAAATAATTAAGAAAATTAGTGTCAAAAATACATTGCAGGAATCTTTGTCAATTTTTATCAGTTGTATTTTGGAATAAACGTCAGACCGTTTTAATAAGCATCTGTACTGTTTTACTGCAAAATCCACGCAGGGAGCTTTTAAAGCTGTATGAACTACAAAACCACTGAAAGCAAGAAAGGGAGAGACACCAACTGGGACGGGCTGGAGCGAATGTCAGGGGAGGAGAATTTAAACAAACCTGTCTCAGTGCTCAGCTCATTTAGTAGCCCCCGGGTTCTCCAGGCAGATGCCGAGTCTTGATTTCCTAAGGAATTATTGTGCTCTTGCACTACTGCGGCCGCCAACAGATTGTCCACATTTACCACCTCTGGGTCTGAGTTTGTGTCCGATATATCGTAATGAGCTACAACTGGGGGTCCATCTGCAGGAGGAGAGAGAAGCAACGCGTGGTTAGAAGTCGGCACAGGGTCAAAGGCACTTTCAGAAGCACAAATAACTTGTTTAAGGATTAAGGCAATCTCCTACACAAAGCTCTTGAAGGACTATGAATTACATGAATTATTACACTTGAGTTAATGAACATTGCCTGAGATTACAGAGACACTTTAACCTTTGCATACACAGAAAACACGAATGTAAGAAAAGCACGTTTATCGATGTATCAGTTACTTGTGTATTATCTTTTACATTAACACACAAACATCTCCGTATCTGACAGCGTTACATTTACAATGTTAAAGGGATAAAACCTTCAGTTTAATATAAAAAATAGCAAGTTACAGGACATTAAATTTGGCAAGACAAGATATTTAACTAGAAAATTTTACAAAACTCAAGTGACAGCTTACATTACTTTAGGGTTGATTGAATAAAACTAACTTTCTGACATAACTGATCCAATGACAATAAATCTAACATTAGGCAACTTTCCTTACATAACATTTACTCATCAAGGACAGGAATTTTTAAGAATGGCAATGTTTTTTGGTGTTGTATTTTTAAGACCAAGAATAACAAGAGACAAAACTGTAATGTGCAGTGCTAAATATGCTTTTAATTCAATTTGATTATCATATGCATTTTTGGCCACCAAAGTGAAGGGGGAAAGAAGGAGAGAAAATGGCTTATGTGATTCTGAAATCTATTCTTGAGGAATAACAAAGAGCTATTTTTGGTCTATTTTGTTAGGACGAACTATTTTCTTTGTAAGGAATGAAAAATAATTTATAATTGGAATGCAGCTACAAACAGAAAAGGCTCAGGAAAAAAAAAAGGCCATATTCAAGACAAGGACTGATGCAGAAAGAAAGAGAGCACGGATAAATATTGTAATCTTGAAAGGATGCGCGTTTTAACTCAAATGCCTTGTCTTGGCTGTAGATCATTGACTCGGGGCAGATGAAAGTGACTGTGGCTCCCAAATGGCAGAACCAAAACTTACTTTGGGGTAAGGCTTCATCCATAAAAGTGAGTATGAAATAGAAAAACAGGTGGGGCTAAAGCTCAGCTGTGGTTCTTTAATTCCAAGGGAGTTCTGGCAGCTGAGTGACTGCAGGCCCTTTTTTGTCATGGGTAGGTTATCATTTCTCTGGGATAGTACAAAATAATCATAAACTAATAATGCGTTTAGGAAGATGAGACCTTCAGTATTACTAAATGACTAAAGAAATCTTTAGAAGGCACAAAGAAAAAAATGAAATTACTTTTTAGGAAAGATTGGCTTCTTTTAGGAGTGTTAATTGGCCGTTGAAGACAGAAAGAACATAATGAACTAAAAGTTTCAAATCCAGTTCTCTGAAAAGCTGTTTCTACTGAGGTTTTGAACATGGGGTTTTTTGTTTTGGGGTGGATTTTTTTTTTTTGTTTGTAACTTGGTCCCTGAAAAATAATTCAACCCACTATTTAAAGAAACGCCTGTTTTATGATTAGCAACACACTTCATTAAAGAGTGACCATATTGCTTAAGTCGTACTAAAGATCAGTTTTGCAACAAGGTATGAAGAAACTCACAAAATATTTCTGATCAGACCTGCCTCCAAAACAACAATTTCATAAAACAATGTTATATTACAAACTTAAAACAGACCCGACAAAAATAAATGGGTAGTTAAATGCAAATGTATTAAAGACCAAACTGTTCGCAACATGAAACGCTGATGATTATGACTGGAAAAGAAGTCCTGATAATTAACTGAAAGGCAGTCTTTGTCTTTTTAAAAGGCAATTACGAAAATAATGGCATACCAAGCTCAAAATTAAGCTGGCTGATGTTCAGTTAATTATTTGTGAAAGCTGATGATTAAATTACATGCAGAAGTTACAACTGGACTGAATCAGGAGAGGCATGTTTTCCTGCAGTCTTATCATCAGAGTTCAGCGTGAACATATATAATGTGATCTGTAAAAATAAACAGTCGAGTGCAGAAGATACGAGGGTCAAGTACAATATTGACTATTTGACCATTTTTTTCAGTAGGTTATCTAAAATTTCAGGAGCTATGCACTGTTCCTTCAGGTTTTTGTTCCTCTCGCTTCTTACTAAGGCCTCCAAAAGGAGAGGCGAAATTTGATTTTAGATAGACGTGTCTACACAAGTAAAATTATATTTGGACAAAAGGCACCAATAGTCTCAAGTCAAAATTGTACCACTCCTACATGTATAATCATGCAAAAATGTATAATAAATGTATATACATGCAGAGTGATATTCTCATCACCTACCCATAGAAATAACTTGTGTGAAAGTCTTCATCAGTAGGAAATACAAGCATAAACTTGTTATCTGTAGCTCCACTCTTGTATCTTCCACACTTCCAAACAGCACACCTTATAACTTAGCTTAAATTTAGTATACATCAAACAGACAAAAATATTTTCAAAATAATTTACACACCGTAATTATATTTGTCAGTGTAACAGCCACCAATTTAACAATCTGGAAAAAACAAGCTGCCTATTTACAAAGCAATCACAGCAGAGATTTATTTTTGCTTTTCTCAGCCTTGCCTTTCAGGATCAGATTTGGAAATGAAAGGCCCCCAACACTGGGGTCTTCTCTGCCTATCACCAGTAAATGACCAACAAGGCCAAGAGAACGGCCAGGATGCTGCAAAAAATCCCAGGATTCCCAGCACATACCAAAGAAGAAATAAGCAATAAATGCCTATGTGTGTCTAAATAAAAACAACCAAAAAGCCAGCACAACCCCCCTATATATAAAGTTGTAGACATCTACAACTTGATCAAAGTCGCAGTGAAGGCATATAAAAAAAATCCTCTAAAAAATTCTTCATCCCCTAAAGCCTGTTTCCTTTTCAGTGCTACAAGGACGGGACAGGAAGGGTTAAATGTGGAAATAAATAATACTTCCCCAGCCAACTACGTGATCATCCGATGATGTGATGCAAAGTGAATGCGTGGTACCAAGAAATAAGGACAACTGGCTTCAGCTACGAAATAAGGACTGAAAAAATGCTTTCAGGTTGAAAAGGTGAAAGGATTAACCACAACCATAGTTGTAACTTATCATCCTGTCTTTACAACAGAGCCACTCCTCGGAATTACCGACTGGAACAGGATTTCACCAGACGGAAAAAACAGACACCAAAACGAACCGTGCCAGAGTCAAAATTCAATGTAGCGCAATTAGGAGGTTCCCTGGCCAGTAATTTAAACAATCTATTTAAGAAAAGAATCGCATCTTTTGAGAAACCAAGGTAACTGGAAGACTTACATTTCCCTGGTGATAAGCTTTAATTCATTTCTAAAGCAATAAACGCTTGAAAAAAGACAAGGCTGAAAGTTAGTAAGTACCAGCAGCAAAATACAGCTGTTGACATTTAATGTTAACAGGGGGAGGGAAAGACTGCACTTTTTTTTTTTTTTCTTAAAGAATTCAGAGGCAGAGGTCATCACGGGGACAGCATTTCCAAGTGTCCAATTCTCCCTTAATTTACACAGCTCATCAAAACTAATTCCGTTCAGCACAACTGCATCGGAAGCCACATGCACAGAAATCCCAATCTATACACATCAACTTTCATTTTAAGCTTGCAACGTAGAAAATTCAATAATTTTTTATCTACTAGCCACTCCCATGCTTTTCACAGAGCCACATCTCAACATTCAGCGGTCTAAACTGTAAGATCCACACTCCTCTTAGCCCTTAATTCATTTTAACGGCAACACAAGCGAAAAAGGGGGAAATCAACCTTAAAATTTCGGCGGGAGGTTAAAAGCAGCGATCCTGTAAGAAGCACCGTACCTTTGTGCTGCAGCAGCTGGGTACCACTGCACAGCAGGACTTCATCGTAGGAAACAAAAGATATTAGCTAGCTGATATTAGCTAGCAGATGGGGAGTTTAGTCCTTTAAGTCATTATTTTTCTTTAGCTCTCTTAAATTTAGGTGTGCAGGGCCAAGGTTATCACCTAAACTTACTCCCCACTGTAGCCAGAGAGAGGAACCTCAGGGTCAAGTAATCTCAGCCTGGAAATTGCAGCCTGGAGCATCACCATCTCCCCTTCTTCCCCAGCCAACAGAAAGAGCTGAGAGAACCCCCTTAGAGAAGGCACCTTAGGGATGGAGGGGATTTGAGCTTTGCTGGTTTTTTTTTTTTATATTTTCCTCTACAAGACTGAAATCTCCAGAGGACTACCTCAATTGAAATAACTTCAGAATTTAAAAGTTGAATTTTGGTGGGCTGAATGGCCCTCTGGAGCTATCAGTGTCTTTGCAATGAGGAGACGTGGAGCCTTATTTAGGTGCAAACACCACCCTAAGCTTTAAAACATACTGAGCAGGTACAATAATAACAGCAAGAATAATTACAGCACTTTAAATTCTTACAAAAAGCTCTCCATTAGTGGATCTGCAAGAGCTCTGAGGTGGTTATTAACCTCCTTATGCCTATGGGGGAAACTGAGGCAAGCAGAGATTTGCCCAAGGCTAACGAGCAGAGGAGCCCAGCTTCGCTGAAAACAACCCTCCCCTCAAATTACTGAGCTATTTTTAACTGGTAAATTATTGAGGAGTTCAAAAACAGTGTTTGGGAATACTTTCGTGAAACCTGCAGAAGCTAAAAAGGCAACACAGAGGTGCCCAAGAAGGTCCAAGCCCAAGGAGATGGGGCTTCATCCAGCCCCACCACTGCCCCTCACTGCGAATATAGGCACCACCTCGTCTCCACCTCAGCACTCTAAGCTGAACTGTGGGATTTTTTATGTAACAAAAGAGAATATTAAAACATTTCAGAATAATAAAAGTTCTAACACTGCCCTCGTTTACACCTGACACAAATTTAAGAGCGAACTCCATTTACTTCAAGATTAAGGCAAAACTTAGAATGGACTTTAATACCTGTATTAAGATCAGATGATCAGTACACTAATCAAAATAATCAAAATTTGTGTGCCAAAAACTA